AAAAAAAAAAAAAAAATTCTTATCCCTTTCCTTGAAAAAAACCAAAAAAAAATCTTGTACCCAACACAAAAACGAAGTCATGCATGAGCTCACATTGTACATATATCACATCCCCTATATATATATTTACAACAAGCCATATAAAAAACAAATCATGCATTAAATTTAATCCTAAACATCATCATCATCATCATCATCATCATCATCATCATCATATATTCATTCATATCCCATTGTCTTCTCCATCGTCGGCCTTTCTAACATCGGCCGGAGGCAAAAAGTAGTCCATCGACAAGCCACATATGTTGAAATCAACCTCCTCGATCCTCCACGTCTCCTCTATCGCCCACCGTCTCTTCATCTGCTTCCCGTATCTATAGAGAGACGCGTTAGTCCTCCCGGCATGCGCTATGGCAATCCCATCCACAGCCCGATAGTCCTCGAGCACCGACTCCATGCTCGTCTCGTAGAACACGCTCTCGTCAGACGACCCAGACGACGAGCCCTTGATGCGTATAAGCTTTGTGTCCTCAAACTGCACGAGGAGGCCCGTGCGCTGGCTGAAGTAGCCCCATATAGCATGGCGCACGACCTCAGTGTTGGGGGTGCCGTGGGCCCGGAGGACGTCCGGGCCAACGTCGAGCTTCAGGATGAAGCAATCCTCCCCGTTGACCATCTTCTCCCCGATGCACACCGTGTCAAGGAAGAGGTTGGCCGTCGATCGGGGGTCTAGGCCCTAATTTGATATATAAGTGTTGATTAGTCACAAATAAGCAAGCAGAGTTGTTAACGAATCGAACATTGGCAAATAGAAGCTCGTTCTGAAGCTGATTTCTTTTTGAATCGAACTGAGTTCAAACAGAAAATTAGTATTGTTTAATAATCGAACACGAGCTTGTTCACGACCAGTAATTTAATATAATTTTATCTGTTTTTATATATTTATTTGTAATAATTTTTTTATTAAAAAATGCAAAACATAATTATATTTTTGTTTCATTTATATTTCATTTCAAGCTCCAAATGAACGAATCCCGAGTTAATCAAACGAATAATTTTTTTTTTTTTTACTAAATTATTGAAATACGAACAAACTCGCAATTTTGACTAATAATAAAATCAACGAATAAACAAATGAACTTGAAGTGGAATTTTTGCTCAAGACAATAAACAAAAGAACACACAAACATCAAACATAATCGATCACAAGTTCGAAAATACTCGAGCTCGACTCGTTTTCGATTAAATCGTGTCTCGTCATCAATAGATTCCACTAAATTATATATATATATATATTATATATAAAAACCGTACCTGAAAGAACCTTCGGAGGGGCCTGGGCGGCCCCCTCGAAGCGTTCGAGTTCGAAGAAGACTGACTCCACGCGATCTTGCCGTCGCTACCCGCGCTGATCTTGTGTCCCGAGATGACGAGCTCGAGGTACCACAAGTCGGGGTTCTTCTGCCAGAGCACGAACCCACCCGCCTCGCAGTTGCTCCTTTTCACCCCACCCGCCTCACAGTTGTTGTGCGCCATCGAGTCGGACAACACCACCATCTTCACCTGCCCCACCGCGTACATGCTGCTGACCGAGTCGAGCGCGGCCAGCCCTCCCGTGGCCGCCAGGTACTGCTGCACTATGTACTTCGCTGTCGAGGCTTCCTGTTAATACATCATCCATAATATGTACACGCCACGTGTTATATATTTTTGATCATACGATTTGACATCTTTATTCAGTTTCATGCATAATATGTATATGTGACGTGTTATTTTTTCACCGTGAAATCGCAAAATCGCAAAAAAACTTGGGCAAAAATACATTTTTAGTCGTGTTAGTTTAATGTCACAGCAATTTTAATCCTAAAGTTCTAATTTTTCGCCTTTTGGTTCTTTATTAAATTACATAACTTAAATTATTAATTGAAAAAAATTTGGAAATTTATTGCAATTATAATCCTCAAAGGACTAAAATTGCAGCAAAAATATTAAATCGAAGAACCAAAAAACGAAATGTTGAAATCTTAGGGCAAAAATTGGTATGATGTTTAACCAATAAGACTAAAAATGTAATTTTGCTAAAAAATTACAATGGAGCCGTCTTTGACGGGTTTGGTGATGGTGCGGTCGAGCTGGACGCGGTGGGGTATGAAGGCGGAGCCGACGAGCTTGAGGAGGAGGAGGAATTGGTCGTTGGCGGCGGCAGAAGAGGAGGCGGCGGTGGTGACGGCAGCCCACCGGTCGGTGGCGGCCGCCGTGCGGTGGTGGTGGGCCCGCATGAGGTTGCGCATGTTGTGCCACCTAAGCGCGGCGTTGCTGCCCATCTTGTTGAACATCTCCTCCGGTATGGGCACCTCAAGCACCGTCTCCAAGCCGTCTTCTTTGTCGAGGTTCGGGCAAAGCTTCCGCATCAAGCCGCCGCCGCCGCCGATCACCATGCCTGAAGCCGGCTGCGGCCTTGCCAGAAAATCTCGATTTCGAGATAAATCGATCGAGAGCCGGGGGAGATCGACCTTCGATTTATTACCTCAATCTCCCTTGTGAATCTATAAGGTTTGAAGTTTTTAAGGATTTGTTGTTGTTGTTTTTTTTTTCCCCTTGTTCATTACATGTGTTGTGTTTTTACATTTTATTTTTTTATTTTTGCCTTTGATTTTCTGAGTTTTGGGGGATTTTTGTTGTTGTTGTTGTTGTTGATGTGAGAAGGTCAAAGGGAGGATTAAGTGCGTATGGTGTTCCTTGGTCGTAGGGTGTCGTGTGGGCACGATTTTTGGAGAGTTATTGGATCATAGAATATTATGGCTTAGCTAATTGGTGTTATAATTTAATTTGATATATAGGATCATGTGACAGCAATATATATGTGTAGAAATTCTTGGAGCAATATTATTTGTTAGTTAGATAGAGCAGTTGATTTGGTTATTTTGACAATTTTTAATTCACTTGAGTGCTACACAAACCAATGGGAAATCAATTCTTATTTGGTTTTGTGGATCTCTCTTGGATACTATATTTGATGAGTGATCATTAGTATTAATATTAAACTAGTTGTTACCATCGGAAAACTGTATGATAAAAAATAAAATAATAAAAAATATAAATAATAGTAAAAATTATAATATAATCATTGAAAAAAAAAGTTTTAAGAAAGAAAATTCAAATATAATTAAACAATTCTTTATATACAACGTCCATAATTTTTCGAACCCCAATCTGATTTCTTGATATATCCCAATAATAAAATTTAGTAAGAGAATATTTTAAATAAGCCACAACACATTATTTTTCTTATAACTTAAGCTCAAACATTCACATCCCATTGTTTATTAACAAAGCCCAAACAAAATCAAACAATAAATTCTTTTTCGGGCCACAAATGGGTCAAATAAAGTTGATTTCGTTTGAATCCAAGTAGTATCAAGGCTGATGTTTTTTTTTTTTATTGGGTCAAATTAAACATAATCCAAATGCATGGACCCATATAGCACGGTCAAAGCTTCATCCACCACACAAATGTAGAACATTCAACAAAGTGGTAGAGACATGTATTTAATGCCTAAAACCCTACCACCTGCAACATTTTCGTCGTTTTTTCTTCATTTTTAATTTTTTTTTTATTTATCGGAGACAAATACTTGGATCGATTCTGATTTTGCTTAGCCGTTGTAGACATTCTTTTAATTTATACATGTCTTACATCATGAAAAACAAATTTCAGCCCAGTAGTTACTTCTTTGTTTGTCAAAAATTTCTTTGACTAAAATCGAATCAATCGCAATATTGTAGTTTTTTTCTTGTTCTTAGCCAAGAAAATCATATTATCAAATTGCACTGCAATTTGGAACTCAAAAGAAATATGTTGTGTCGAAATAGTTTTTTCGGTGACTGTGATTATGAGTGTGGAATGCAAAGTGAAAATGTGTCTGATTTTTATTTTATTTATAAGCACCTACATAAGTCTATTAACTAATTAGTGTAAATACCAACAAATCAAGAGCATGATTAGTTGAAAATATTTTGATAACTGGAAAAAATATGAACTATATAATAGTGGCGCATTTGATATGATTTTTGAAACTAGAATTTATGTTCCGCCAACTAAAGATTTTATTTTTAGAGTCAAAATTTATGTTTTTTTTTTTGTATTTATTAATTAGACATGTGCTTCTATCATATAAAAATTATTATGTTTTCTTAAGTTATTTTTATCATTCAAAATCAATTGAGATTTAAATTGTATTTTAACCATGCAACGTTTATATTAGTAACATGAATAAAATAATTTATATATTTGTAGCATATATTAAGAAAATTAACATAAATATAAAAAAATTATTGGTGTTTCTGATTTTTAGAAAAAAAAATATATGTGCCAATCATGCACAGATGTACATATAATATTATAAGTAATATTTGAGAATTTAATATTAATTTTAGATAATGAACATATTACATTTTCAAAAATTTGATCATTAGAAAAAAAAATAACGATTTTATTATTATGAAAAATTGTATATTACCATTAGATACTAACTGTTTAATTATTATTATTATTATTATGATTATTATTATTACTATTAAAACAATTGTTTATAAAATTCTAAAGTTGTCTGACTATGCTATTAAAATAATTTACTAATTGTTTTTAAAGAAATTTTTTCATGAGATACAAAAGAAAAAGATAATATTGATATTAAAATAAATAACTTAAAACAATTGTTCTTAATTATGTAATTTATATTTATTGTGAATTATTATTAGTTGGTATTAGCAATAACTATTATATAATATAATAAAAAATACATGATTATACTTATTATGATGTATTAATGTGAGAAATAAAAAATATTAATGATAATTTTTGTAACCGAAAATGGAGGGAAAATGTTAGAGGTTTTATTAAATAGGTAAAATTAAATGCTATATGCTAGCAATTATATATATATATATATATATATATAATCTGAAATTTTGTCTAAGATTTCTACATATTTGAGTGAATGATATTTGTTCTATTTGTTATTAATCTTGTACTAGTATTATCGAGTAATTTTTAAAATATTATTCTTAAATTTTACTATTTTAAATAT